CGGATGTCATTGATGTCGCTCTCTAGAATTGTTCTTCATTGTGTTTTGAAAATCCGTAGACAGTTGGCGAGTGATAGTCCGCCTGAATTTCCGCCTGATCGAGCAAGGGATAGAAAGTGCGTGCACAAGACACTTGATCACCGGATGACGGTTTGGTTTTCCTATGCGCAACATCTTTGGAAGCTTAGTAAACAAAAGCTTCCATCAGAACTGTCTGTCAGTGGGCATGATAACTTGCTACTCAGAGAGGCTTTTAATATGCATCTGTTGACCAAATTACGTGGCTCTCTATCGTTAATGTCTAATCAGCAGACATGAAACTTCCGTAATCGATTAAGTTTTACTGTGATCAATTTCTTTGGTTGCTCGTTTTATTCTGTGATAGAATCAGGCATCACAACCAACTGGAATAAATGAAGACCCAGGTGTTCTGTGTTGTTCTGGCCTGACGGACTTTTTGTTTGTTTAACCTTCACCTCATCATTAGTTCGCGTTCGATTGCATGTTTGTACGTGCTTGGCCACTAGGGTACGCCCTCGCCTCACTGTTGTGCCCACGTAGGTAACACTTCACCCACATTGAAAGTCATAGGCTGCATGTGATTTAGCGCACACAACGAATAGTGTTTTCACCACGGGCTTAGGAATCCACGTTGTTGTGAAATGAATGACCTAATTTGCTGCAAAACGTGCAAGATACAGTCGCCCCCAGATGCCGTCATATGAGTTGGCCCATAACACCATCTTAAACGGTAGTTGAATAGGAACGTCACATTTAGGCACGTCTCCGGCTACTTGGCTCGGCTTTTTTGCTGTAACTTGGTTGAATTTCATCGAACTTCGGAGCTTCAATGAATCAAATCAGTTCAGTTTCTAAATTATTCGAAGTGCGCAACCGCCTAGCTTGATCATACAGTTTGCACACAGGATCTCGTTTGCGTTGGATTGATACGAACCTCCCAAGCCATTTGAGAGGTAGTAGTCCGGGTTACTAATACAATTCCGAAAGGATTGTTTGTAAAGATTTGCACACGGTAGAGTAATCAACCAACGAAATCCCCGGCTGTGACAGCAGACCATACAAGTGGAAGAGGGAAATGAAATTATGTTAGATTATCAACACATGTGATACATAAACTATTTCTTTTTCTTCACCAGCCACCAGCTGAGATGCAATGAAATTATTGCTGAATTAAATCGTGCTCAATTGCAGTATTGTGTTCTTCATATGGGTTTGTTTTTTGAGATGACGGCTTTAATCAACTCGGACACGTACCTCGTTCACTTGCTTTCAGCTCCCTTTAGGGTTGAAATCAGAACTGAACACATGCATCATTTTTTCCGACAATATTTTATTTTCGAATTCCGCTCATCGTCTTATTTCTTTCTCAGTACCTATGGTTGACTCATATACACAATTCCCACTTATTGCATTTACTTTTATTTTTTATGTTTGATGCCCTGGTGAAATGAACTGCCGGAGGATTGAGTGCCACAGTGTAAACTGTTCCACCATGTGAAATGGCGATCTAAGCCTTGGGATCTGCAGCAGAGAACCACATAAATGAACGGCGTGTTATTGTGATCGACAGTTGCAAAGCAAGTTGTGTAGTAGGTTTCGGAGGCAAGAATCTGGCAGATGGAACATCACTGCTCCCTAAATAATTATGTGGCAGAATGATGCCAGTAAACTGTGATTACGTATTTCCATATTTTCTAGATGGCGTGCCTGTCCATCAGAGAGAATTGTTCTAAAGAAAACCAGTGTTCTGTTACAAATTTCTTCCATGTGTATAAGTAGTCAACTGCTGAACTGTTTTACCGACCTGCAGCTTTCAGCTTTGACCAGTTCAGTGTTTGCTATATGATTATCTGCATTGCACATTCCTTAACTACTTTTTCACTGGTCAGTGACACTGGGGTTTAGCCCTTAAAATCGACGGTTGATGAACATATCTCCCGAACTACTTTCAAAGGCGACAATAAATGCAAAGTGCACAGTGAAATAAAGGACTCCTCCAGGTCAATTCATTGAAAGCAATAAGTGATTATTGAAGCCGTGTTTTGAGCCCGGAACCGCGTATTCTTTGGAATGTTGAGATATTTACAAAAATGTAACAAACTGTTCAATCAAACACAACCCATTCGAAATTAACTCACAGCCTCTTGAGAGTACTGCTACGGGGATAAGTGATATCGGTTGGACTGATCTTCTATCAGACTTCCTTGCCTTGCCTAACATGCAGTTCATTCTATCAACCTTAATGCGGTGATGCTTTCGAGTTTTTCCCTCTTATTCGAGAGCATAAGTGGTGCATCGGGATCGACCAGCATGGATGGCGCTTTACAACCTCTGTGCCACTCACAACTCACATTGGGGCTGGCCAGAATCAACAACTTACAATTGTTCATTCGTCGCCTTCAATCTCAGAGAATGAACCGAGGACTGTGAGCTAAATGCCATCTGAGGCAGGGTGGGTTCAAACTGTTGAAAATTTGCTACTATTCTGTAGTAATTTCAGGGTGTGTAGGATGTCCCGTCTGTGATTAAACCCTTAGGTCTAATCCCATTTTGCGGACATGTCTGGACCACACGGAAATTAAGTGTCCAACTAGAGATTGAGATACCATTTATGCGCGGTTGGTGAACCACATCTCCAACATAACCAACTGGACACAACCGAACTGGAGTGTTCGAATTAGTGACAAGTGTTTTCTTGTGATCCCATTTTAGTGCACGTTAGTAGACAGCGAACCAAAATGATGTACAACGTGAGTATCAACTTGTACTTCTATTCATCTCATTATTTAGCCATTTGAATACTTGTGCACTCATTTTGTTGCTGACCTCGGAAACTAGTGGTTGTTATCATTTTAAGAGCTTAAATGCATCCGATTGACAGCTGGAAAACAAAATCCCCATGTTTTATTTAAGCGACATTTGTTCGTGACGGCTTCCAAGTTATTTCGTTATCCATTAAATAATCGATACTATTTTATCACATTGCATTTTATATCTTATCGGGTTTCATACCTCATCAATGCAGGTTTAACGTAGAAAATTATGATTTAAGGTTTCGGCGATGGAATTTCAATCAAGTAGCATGATGATTTTGTGATTTGTACCCATTGGGTAGTGGTGACTGAAAAATTCAGGTATACACTTACCTTTAACCATAAATTCATTAACTTATTCTGACCCATGCAATGTGGTGATCACACTGACCACCTACAACAATAACAACAACAACACACTGCTGACCCATTTTTATCATCCCTTTTTGGATGCACAAAAGTTTGTGACACATGATGAAATTTCCGGGAATTCAATTGTGGAAACAGCATTTCCCAGATATTTGTGTTCATCAAATTTACCATACTGTCTTGTATGAACACCGGATTGGTTTACGTGGTTGAAGAGTTCAGACAAAACATTGTGATTACGCAATATCTTTTCTGTTTAAAAAAGTATTATGCTACTCGGGATGCTTGTTCAATAGTCCGGGTGAAATGCCTCTTGCCAACTACATAGTTAGGGGAATCATCAAGCTGCAAAAAGATCTTTCGGGAAAACGGATGTAGTATAAGATTTTCCAGTCCATCGTTCGATTTGGCGGTCTATCGTCCTACGCAGATAACAGGAGAACTGAATAGAATAGCCTCATATTTGCTTACATTACACAGGGTTTTAATGTTTCTCTTCTTGTAGTGATCTAGCAGGATACAATTTTTGGAGGTTTTTCTATTTGCAAATGCTATGATTTGACTATCCACAACCAGAAAAAAACATGAGCTTATCTTTCTTCTAACTCGATTTACAAGTCAAACTTGAACTAACCACAGATGAATGAAACATTGGATCAGTCATTACTCTCGAAGTTGATAGAAAGGCAACTCAGTCACGTGGAACCTGATAAATGATGCTTGTTATCAGTTATAGGACTCGGTGCAGCTTGACTTGAAATCTCTCTAGATTATCCTCTTTTTCAAAGAATACGAGTAGATCTGTGGGTATCGAATCAGGGGAATGTTCCCCTGAGTCTCGTTGGATGCTTGTACATCTGAGGTGATACACATGTATAGTCAGAGGAAACTACCCGCTTTTAACTTGTTACGTAATCGATCCATGACATTTATTGATATGTTCAGTCATTCTAGATCGCAGTGATCGGTCGGTTCCCCAAGTATGTGCGTGACTCTAGGACTCACGCCACGCCACACACTCTAACCGCATCACACAGACCGACTTCGGCCATCGCATGTCACTTGATTCAAATCGGCTATAAGGTAGACCTTACGAACGCGTTATCCGTTTTGTTACGTCACCGAAACAAACAGCAACTAAGGATACTCGAGGCATTACCGATCGCTCACAACAAACCCACACTGTGCATCCAAAAACGTGTGACCTTTACCCTTGGCCTTCCCTGGCTGTAACCAATTACGTGCATCACACACTGTACACAATCCGAACACACACACATACATGGTTAATACTAACTAGATTTCTTAATTCGCTTCATTTGTCTATCGTGTTCAATGTTATCCTTAAGCGACCGATGAGAGTATACGAAAGGAATTCCTCTCACAGTGTTTGTCCTCTGACTTGCCTGTTCAAATTTATTGATATCTCCGCCAAACTCAGCGATTCAGACCGTGGGGGATATCAGGTTTCTAAGGTATGTCTAACCTTAAATGCTTCCAATGTGACATCAACATGCGTTAAGGGTTAGTGGTTCAACATTATGCACACTGCAGCATGAAACGAATCTTATTTTATAATATGGACTTGATATGTGAAAGGTTTCTTTCCCATTGATAAACTGCTTCTGTAATTATAGTGCCACAGTTTTCACAAAGAATAGTTCGGTTGTTGGTATGAACGATTTGGTCAGCATATACTTACTAGTTTGGTTTAATATAAAAAGAACCCACAAAACTCAATGCGCTTGTTTTACTACACGCAGTCACCGACTGGAGTAAATAACAAAATGGCATAATTTAAATGGAGACACCACACACAAACTCACCCAGGGTTCTTGATGCTGGTTCGAGCTCGTTTAAGCCTATCATATATGCATACGGTTTTCGTGTCTCGCGATGTTCTGTCAAACGAGATTTGTACGTTGCTTGTTCATTCACGTCTGCATCAGTGACCGATGGGATACGATCTGCCGAATCGGAACTATGCGACTTGATCCACTGTGTGGGTTTCAATAAAGAGGTATCTGAGTCCCGTACGGAAGCTCTATCCACAAACGAGCCGCAGTGTGACGAGGGCGGTGGAAGTGAATGCTGAATCGGAGCGGCGATTGTTGCGGCAGCAGCTGCAGCAACAGCAGCTGCGCGTGTTAATGGAGACAAGGTTCTGTCCGGTTGGAGAATCAGTTTTTCCGAGCTCATGTTTGGCTGTGATTCGACCGACTGGCCGCAAGAACTACCTGGTGGTGCTAAATGTAATGCAGTATACAAAGGACTCATCAGTTTGCTTCCAATAAGCATCGGATTAATTATAACTCCATGTTCATTGACTGGCGATTTGGGTGCTGTACTAGACTGCGACCATGGTGGCATGGTATCGACCAGGGATGAGGATGAACCGGGAGCAAGGAAACAAGTTGATGGATCGGACTCGTTGTGATCAGGTACCGAGTTGTTTGACTGATCGGTGGGTATACGAGTTTCATCTGAACCAGCACCGCCACAGATCAATGCTGTTGGGCCTGGATTTTGTGTAAAAACAGCCATATGGTTCCAATATGCTTGACCCCAAGCTGAGGAACCAAATAGCGGGACAAAACAGGATTCCGTATTCTGAGCGGAAAAGCCTGACGACAAATTCGACGCAGTCGACGCACATGGATAATCGGAGAGGTGAAACTGCTCCGCTTTGTCCGTATTCGCCGCAATGTTTTGTGTAAGGGGTATGATCGGCAGATTGTTGTTCGATGGAGCCACATGATCGGAATAACAGTCCGGTGGACAGAATGAGCTGTGCAGTTCACTTGCTTCATCGTCTACCACA